CCTTTTGTCTAGCCAGCACATCTGCGTAACTTTTTATCCTTTTTGTCTGCAGTTAGCATTGTGTTTGATATCAAGGTGGAAAGCTCAGTACCTTGCAGAACTTCATTCAGGTTTATTTGTGATGTGGACAGTACAATGAACTTAGGTGTCTAATTAGAGTAAGTAAAAGTATTTGCATTAAACCTATACATGCAGATACCTACTTTTAAAATCCTAAGTGCAATTAGAGGTGGTTTTGCTGTCTTTTCAAAGAAAAAAAATAATGGAAAAAAATGTTATTTCAGAAGGTACTTTCTTTGCAAAGAGATAAAATCATTAGCAAATAAGCACTGAAGTGGCGCATGGCTACAGCATTACATGGATGAACTTTCTGGAAAAAGGGAACGCTTGAACCAAAAAGGAAAAGAATATGAAGAAAGGGTAATCTTTTTGCTTTGCTCAGGCTGTTTCACAGAGTTTTTTATTTTTTATTTTTTGTCCTATGTAATACAAGTGTTGCACAACAACTCATAATAGACCCCCAAAATGTTGAAGTGAGTCCAGGAAGAGCTACAGAGAAACACCTCCGACAATAAGAGCCCTTTTCTATGGATATCTATTACCTTTATTTTTAACACTGAATTATACAGACATTTTTAAAGGGAAGAATGATCAGGTGAGGTAAGAAGTCTGCCATCCTGCAAGAAACTCTGCAGAAGGCAGCGATTTTCAGACTGAATCTTTGACCTGCATCCTTTTTCCATTACAGACAACATTCTGGTGTTCTCCTGTGATCCCAGAACAATGTGGTCCTTGCCATTCCTCTCATTACTGATCAAAGTAAATAAGCCTTTGATGTTCCATTAATGGAATACATACATCAAGCAGGCTTGTCTTCTGAATTATACCGGAATTCTTCTTGGGATTCATTTCCCAGAAGAAGAAATAAATATATCAATTTAAAGCATCTGATTTGATTCTGCATTTTCTAGTCTCAGCACCATGCTAGTGATTTCTTCAGCTCATTCCCACTTGCTGCAGCAATCCCAAATTATACTTCTGCAAAACCTCTTGTCCATTAGTCTCCAAGTGCAGTGGATGTGCTCCATCTGTGGGCCATTAGTTGCCTTACATGTGTCTTCCCCAGTGCAGGGAAAAGGCTGAGGGTTGCTGTGCAGCAGGTGAGCAACATCTTATAAGACAGCCTGTTTGAAGGAATCTTGCTAAAGGCCACTTGTTAGTAGCAGCTTTTTTTTTAAGTTATAGTCTTTCTTTGTTATACAAGCAGCCCAGTGTCTTCAGCCATTATGCTTCTCTGAAGAGAAGAACTGTGGAGAACCTTTGGTCAGCTCTGTTACTGAAAACTAAAGCACGATGAAATGTAGATGATTATTTTGTTGTGATGAAGATTTTTAAAATTTTCACCACGAAGGTGGGGAAGAACTACGTTATTTGTTTTCATTGAGAATGTACTTTTCATTTGCTTCCACTTCTCCACAATTTGGTCATTCCTTCAGATCTGTAATGTCTGATGAGGGAATGTGGTTAGCCCCAAATGAACTGTTTGTTTTTGTGCTAAATCACATTAGCTTACATAGGGGGAATATGTAACTGAGAAGGCACTTAGCTGTTCCTGAAATTACACAAGCTGCAGCGGGAAGTGCTGCATGGCAGCATGCTAAAGAGGGAAAGCATTTTTCAGGGCATTAGTATGGCTGAAGAGGGAAAAAGGCTGCCTTAAAATATTCACGTGACGTTCAAACAAATTAGGTACTTATTATCCATTAACTTCAACTTACAGTTAAGCACCTGGCAGGGTTTTTGAGCAACATTTAGCAGATTAAATGCCTACCTGCCTCTTTAGTCACCAAAATACTTTTGAAAACTATCAAAAATATCTGACATCATGTTGGGAACTGGAAACGAAAATGGAACTTTGTGTCACGTGATGCTTTAAATGTTTATGAGGCAGACATTGCATGAGAAAAATATGTTATAGAGCATTGTACGTATGTTGCAAAAAAAACATTCTGTGAAATAATCCTGCTTGTAGGTTTTTGGGCAATGCTTTTCATTGCACAAAAAATGACAAAGATTTTTTTTTTTTTGTATGATGATGATTAAAGAGCTGGAGCCATACTACTTGGAGATTTTTTTTGCTGAAGAACTCTGGTATTCTACTTATTTTTGTTTTGTTCATCAGGGAATGAGTCATCTGTTCCTGCATCATTCATGGCAGTGTGAAATGTAGCTTGCATATCTTATTTGTCTAGCTCCTAAGTCAGCCCCCATGTCTGAGATTGGTTTCAAGAAACCTAACAAAATTAGCACGTTGTGTCACTGCTGCAGTGTTATGAAAATCTGTTATGTGTTTTGTGCTGTTTCTTAGGTACAAGAAGTCTAAAACTCATGAGCAGATCTTTCAGAATTCTTTCAGAGAATAATCTGTAAGCAGCTCTTGGAAACTGAGTATGTCTCTGTGTTTAGGTCTGAACTACCTGAACATACGTGTCAGAAAAAGAAGACTAGCGATGACTAGCTTTCTAGCTGGTGGGATTTTAACACTGCAGTGGCCTTTAAGGATTGTCCCCAGTGATCAACTGTTTCTAATGAACACTGGTATCAGTGAGACAGTGGAGAGGACTAACTACATTGCAGTGAGCTACACTGTTGTACCTGAAAATTGGTGTCTGGAGGAGCTGCTGTGTTTGAATAAGTGCTTTGCTACGTTACTCTAAAATACATAAAAGGTGCTGTTCTCCCCCTTCCCTTTCTAAAAATAAACTTGGAAATGTCAGCATCAAGAATGGCAGCATATTTCTTGACAAGATGAGCGAAAGACCACAGTTATTTCACAGAAGTACTACTGAAATGTGTTAACTTCTTTAACTTGCCCAGCTGGAGAGAAGTGTTAAAAGCTGTAATGGTTATGGATAGTAAGCATCAGTGTCTCTGTAAGAAAAGATAAATTGAATCATGCTGATTTAGAATTAGAGAAGGAAAGTGATGAACTGCTGTAAGTCTTGTTGCACTTGACTGAACGAGAAATTTCAGCTCGTCCCATATGCAATGCTTCTAGACCTAAAAAATGAAAATGGTGACCCCATAGCATTATAAGTATCTATTTTTATGTAGCAAGGACACTGACTAGCAATTGAGAAAAAATGGCTGGGAACATCAAGAGAGAAAGGGACCTTTCATTTTAAATTCCAGTACAATTTTGCATTAACTCCTCTGCTTTTCTTATATTTTACCTCTGCACTTCTGTAATGCTGCTTTGTGCAGCTTAAAGGGGAGGGGAAAGAAAGGAAGTGAAACTGTTGCATAAAAGCTGTTAATGTGATTCCACAATGCTGATAAAAGCATTTTTAAGAACTACACATCTTTACAGATTACTACTGATATCAATATCATGCTGTATGTATTTCTACAGATGCACAATCAAGTTCTAAATGTCTAAATGTTACCTACTCTGTGATTGTGCACCCATGGCATGTGCATAGCTCATGCTTCTGCTACAATCTTGAACTCTCAATTAACTGAACATTTAAATAAAGTATTTTAAATTTGAAACATTCTTATCACAATATTGACTTTTTAATTGGCTAAGCATTAGAACAGTGTTGTACCAATGGGCACAATTAGATATGCGGTCTGTGGCTATGTAAATTACAGTTGACTCAACAACCACATACTTTTTTCTTTCTTCTTTCTTTACTTACTGTAATAAGAATGTGACTCTTGAAAGAAAATTTCATTCTTTGGAGTAGAAACTTAATCTTCAGGCAGGCTGGTTGAAGGGAGTGAAAAGCTATGCTGCTCAAGTGTTCAGTGTGGATACTTTTGGCGCCAATACAGAGAAGAGTGCATGCTTTGTCGATAAATCACAGGATACTGAAGGAATTCTACTTTTTTTTGGTGCTTTTTTGCTAGACAGGAGTCAATTACTTAAATAAACATTTGCTTTGAGGTTGAAAATTTTCTTGAAGTACAAATAGCAGTAGCACATAGGTATTAAGAAGAAATGTTTTACTAATAGAAGATGAATGGCCATAAATCCTTTATGTGATTACAGGTGATACTGTCCAAGAAACAACACAGTACGATACATGCTAGGAAAGTTTTATCAGTGTTGTGCTGGAGAACTCTTTTGCTTTACTATCCACTTAGAAAATGTAATACAGTGGAGTCAATTAAATGATAGGCATTGATGAAAGTGGATGTATCTCCTGGAATGCACCTTTCATGCCATGCCAGTGGATTGTTACTCTCTACTGCTCCGTCTCATGTGAGAGACTTTTTAGAAATCTAACACACCTTGTTATATGGAATGTGCCATTCTGACAGCTCATTTTAAAATAGAAATGTTACACAGATCACTCAAAGCAATTCTTTCCCATCTTTCACAGTTGTATAAATGCAGACTGCAATCTCAGCTCTTATTTCTGTTGTGATTTCTATGGATGGTTTAGACTAGAAGAGATGCTCTTAGTCCATGTGTTTCAGTTGAGTGTTTCTGAGTGGCTTGAATTGAAATGGGAGTACTGTGGTCTTCCGATGCTTTAAAAAAGACTTCTAGGAATAAAAACATTCAAATTTATACTCTGGAATCAACGTAGTGACTCTGATTCTGCTAGAGCAATTATCTCACCATAATACTAGGGGTACAGAAATCTGAGGGTCATGGCAGAAACAGGTGATTTTGCATCTCTTGCTGTACAAGAATTAGGAGTAATTACATGATAGCAGAAGGCAACAGGTTCAGGCGAACAGAGAGATTTCTTAAACAACTGTTTGCTAAATATTTGCATTGATCTCAAAAATGACTTGAGATTTTTATGAAAGAAAAATATGGTGAAGGTTATTGAATACTGAGATAGCAGCTTCTGGTTTGAGCCACAGATTAGAAAAGACTGGGAGAGGATTGTGGTGTAATTGCCTCCTGGCCATAATTCTGTAATTGCTGTTTTTCCAGATTATTGATCCATAACTTTACTTAATCTAAAAAATCAAATCTTCAATTTTGGTGGAATACTTTCAGTGAAGTACTGCTCCATTGGAGCTGGTGGTAAAATTCTCACTGGCTTCAGAGAGATGAGGATTTTTGGTCAGCCACGTACTGCATTTCTCATTCACTTCCCTACAACAATTCATAGCCTGAAAACAAGATTACATTAAGGCCCCTTGTTAAGGCTACAGAAAGGCAATTTTCACTGTAAGTAAAAAATGTGCTCACATGGCCTTTAACTCCAGTATCTTGTTTTTTATCAAACAGTCTCAGTTTTTGTGTAGTCAAGAATCATGGTGCACACCCATTTATAGTGTTTAGTAACTTTAATGGGGTTTTATTTGCAATTATTTCTTAAAAATAATTTGTTAAAAATGTTTTTGATTATACAGTTCTAATGTAATCTTCATCTCTGTATCTTTCATCACTGATGATGTTCATTACTAGTGCTTGGAGATTTGGTGGCAAGTCTGTACATTCTACTGTTCTTCACTTCTGTGTCAGCAGTAGGCTCACTGTACCTTCTTAAAGACCTGCTTGCATTTGACTCCACACACTCTTATTTCCTAGGAAGAGAAAATAATTTTAAAATTACATCTTTTACATATTACATGTGCATTATATATTTATGGATATGTCCAGCTTAATTTCAATATGAAATTTCTTATCAAATTAGATTGTATAGCTTGTACATATTTTAGCCTATTTTTAATCCTAATAATACCACTTAGTTTGGGCTTATTTTCTGGAGAAAGAAAGGTGGAGTAAGAGAAGTTATTTTGGGATCTCAGATCTGAGAGGACCAAATGTGTTCCAGGGGCATTATTGCTTATTTGTGTGTGCAACTGCTTAGGTGTTTGAAATGAGCATTCTGTATTTTGGACATATAAACAAGGTTTTTGGGATGGATTTAAGTAACAAATTCTGAGTCTGTATGTTGATGATCAAGCTTACAAACCCAGAAATCAGCCAAAAACCCATTCTAGCAACCCAGTGGTCACGGGTAGGATGGGACAGGTAATCACATACAGAAGAGTTGAGCTAGGTCTATAAACCCAGCACAGCAGTGAGATTTGACTGAACTTCACCATATTAGATGCCTAACGCTGCCAGCTGGTCTTCTGTCTTCCATAATAGGTTTTAAAAAATCTTTGCTTGCTAATAATTGGGTCATACCTAACTGCTCATAAGAATGTACATTGATTTATGAGACTTACTGTTGTTCACCTAACATCATTGAAGATGCAGTTTAATCTTCTCTATTACTGAAACTGTTGAGGTTACACCTGAGTTGCACAGACTTTGTGGGAATTTGTGCTGACTGGTTTTTCTGGAAGAAGAAAATTGGTGGAACTTCTTAAGGAATGTATAGACAAAGATTATATATGACATAGCAGAAGGACTGTACTTCCTATTGCAAGATAAGACATATATAAAGTTGTCAGAATATTTTGAGGAATAGGAGTTATAGTTAACTGGGAAGTTGTGCACATTTCCTTATATTTCTTTATAAGCTTTAAAATGACTTATTAAGAAGGACTTACACTGGGTCAATAACCTTACTGACATGTGTTGCCAGTCTGTTGTAAGAGAAGGTGTTTCACGATGAATTGATGAAACAAGCAGACTGGTTTTGTGATTTTAGTTGGAACTGGTTTTGTTCACTGTATATATAGGGAACCCAAAAGAAAGAGTGTGCAGTAAGTCCAATGAGATCTGCTGACAGAGATAAAAACCTGCAGAGCAGGAGCAATCAATACAATAGAAAATGGCAATAAAACTCAAAAGGGAATGGAGAATGGTCAAATAAGTCACTCACATAAAACAGAATCCAAAGAGGAAAAAGAACTACAAAGTACAGACCATAGATTGAAATGGTAAAAATAGGAGGCGATAAACTACTAAAGGATGTGGTACTACTTTCTACAGAACCATGGAAGGAATTAAATTAACACTTGGCTCATTGTGTAAAGTTCAATAGCATCATAAAACTATCGAAGTATCAATTTTTTAGAGGTAACTGCCCATTGTATCAAAGTACTTTCAGGAGCACAGGGCCCAGTAATCTTGGCTGATCAAAAGATACTAAATGGAACTATTTCACTGCATGTGTAATGGAGAGAGTTATATTAATGAGGATTCAGAGGAATAAAGGGGACATCATTTGAAGTTCATGAAGTATAAAATGTGATAAAATATTGGGGACTGGCTTCTAAAATATTTGGGTACTTCTTTTGCATGAAGTAACTTTGTACTGGCTTTTGGATGCATGATGGATGGATCACAGTAAATTGTGCAAGTGTCAGTGCATGGATACCGGTATGTGCTCGCAGGTATGACACTTCTCATCACAGCCTTTTGAAGCAAAAGCATCAGATCAGTCTTGTTACGTTAGGGTACCTAAGGTGGCACTAGACAACAGGGGCACTAGCACCAGAATCTGAATTTATGACTTCTCAGATATGACTCTTGACAGGTTTAAGCATAGAAAATGGTCTGGCCTCCAGGTTTGTGACCAGGTTTTATGGCTAGTGCATGAGTCAGAGTAAGGACAGCAGAAGTCTAGACTAAAAAAAAAAAAAAAAAAAGGGTGTTGGGAGTAGTAAATGGGAAGAGAGAATGATTGCAGGGAGACAAGAACCTGAACTTCACAAAATGGAGGCCAAAGAAATCCAAGAACAACTAGTGCCATCACTTCATGTGGGTTAAGTGCAGCAAGGAGTAAGCTGAGCTTCAGGGCCAGACACAGCGTGGCTAATTGCAACCTGTTTACTAGCAGAGATTCTGAAAAGGCTACTGCTTGGGGTCACAGTACCAAGTGCTTTGAATCTGGGAGGTAGTGTGGAACTGCTGTGGTGTTTACATGCAGATTAAGGGGATGTTTTATCCTGGTTTTATCAGTATTCCATATCATGACATCTTGCAGCAGGCTATTGGATGCAGAGGCACAGTGCATTGTGGAGCTGTACTTCCTGATCCTATGCTCTTTAGCACTTTCACATGAGTTCCAACTCTCTAAGAAAACTACTATTCCCAGGAACCTCCCCAGTTCCCAAGTGATGTCCAATTCCAGGTGACAGGGATGAGGCACTTCCAGGTTCCAGCAGTGATGGCAGCCTTCCTCTCTCTCCCATTTGAGTTATTAATTGAAACTCTCTTCCTTGCTATTATCTTACATTCTTTCACCATTTGTAGTAAATCTGTAATCTCTCCTTATGATCTTAGTTGGATCATTTCTCTTTCCTTTTCCTCGAAAGGAGGAGGAAGGGGCTCCCTTCTCCTGTTGCACTTGAAACTGTGACATATATACACAGGAAATTCTGCAGTCTCATTTTCATTGCTTCACCTCTACTTCTGTTGAGGCCACAACTATAAATTTACTTCCATCCCTACCTGCATTACATCGAGTATGTAGTCCAGATGGCAAGGCTTATTACATACATTCCTTCTCCAGACTTGTTTCTGGGACTTCCACTATTTCTTATTTAGCAATAAGAGGCTTAGGGCACTTCTGCAAAGATTTCATCTATAACAGTTTCTGATTTGGATATTTAGAGAATATTAATTTGGAGTGTTGAATGCTAAAAGTACTGAGCAGAGGAATGAAACTAAAGTTGGATTTTATTTTCTTAGCAGGAAGAGTGCATTTTATCCGAAGTAATGAGAGAATGAGTATGCTATGAAGAGCTACGTAAAGAAAGAATAGGCATCTTCTTTCAGATCCCATTAACTTGGAAAGATGGAAATGGTGATCAGAGAGAACGTGACATTTCAAAAGCTTAATTGCTGTTTTAGTTTTCTGGGCTATAATGCAGCTTGGGCTGTAACTATTTTAAAAGAACAATAGTATATTGTCCCCTTACGGCTTACTGTTGGGTGTGTAATTTTACAAGCTCCCATATTGTGTATTTCACAGAGTGTACAAGGACCATTCTGTTAAATGGTTTCCTCAGTGTAAACATTTCAAACTGGTATGTCTGAACAGTTATCAGAAAGAGTACTGCTTTGAAATGAGGCAGTCTTTATAAAGGACTTGAAAGAAGAACGGTGCCAAATTAAATTACTACTTTAGAAGCAAGTCAAATACAGCACCAATACTTAATTATGTCAAAGAATGCCAAGATAACACAGCACTCCATCTAGCCATTTCAGTAAATAAAAGGATGGCACTTAGTACCCATTATATGATCTTACCAGGTGCATTTCATCTCCTTCAATCCACTGAGTCCAACCACGATCTTCTTTTTCTCCTTTCTGTACACAGAGTAGCTTATCTCCATCCCAAGAAACTGTGGTCTAAGAAAATGGGCACGTTCAGCATTACTGTAGTATTTCATGATATTTTGATTAGTTTCCTTAAAGAAAAACTACTCTCTAATACAATGGACTAATGAATCTCATAAGAAGAATAATTGTAGAGTATTGTAGTACTTAGTATAATTACAAAAGAAATTTGCTTAAAGATCAAATTGCTTCCCAACTGCCTGTCAAAACCTGCAAAGGTGAGATAAAGCTGTTTAGCTGCAAGAAAAGAAATCACATGAGAATCATTATGTAAGAGTGCACTTCTTTTTCCCTGCTGACAAATACAACAGCAGAAGAGATGTACAGCCTAGTACTGTATTTGTAAGAAGAGCTGAAAACTTGAGATTCAGGTCTTTTTCCACCACAAGTACTGCTCAGCTGATCTACCTGAACACAGTGCCCACTTACTGGCAGCTCCAGTTACACAAGAAAGTCTTGTAAATACTGGGCTTTTCCCCCCCATATCTTAATCTGTCTTCTGTCATTGAGCGGAGTAGTGTGGAAGTATCAGTAAATTGATAACATTGCCAGCGTCCTGTTTTGTTTAGCTGGAAAGTAGTTGAGCCAGAACTGGTAGAATACCGGTTAAGGTGTTGCAGGATGTAGCTCAGCGCTTTCACGAATACCTGCACTGCCTTGAGTAGTTCAGCAGAACTTAATAAAATTACTTGAATATATGAGAATGCATCCTTCCACTTATTACTGTGGCTAGTCTTTATTGACAGATGCTTTTCCCTTCTCCCTAAGATAAAAAGAGGAAGATTCTGCAGAATTTTTGTAGAGGGAAAGGAAAGATAGTTTGTGCTGCTTTAGGATAGCTTAGCACAGATATTAGCACACTGCTTTCAAACCAGCTTGAGTGAAATGAATCTGAAGACTAGCTACAGATTTACTGTCTACCTCGTGTAAGTGTTCAGGCCGCTGCCTGTATAAGCAGCCAGATTGGATAAATTCTGATCTAATTAAAGGAAAACTTAATGCATCCATCCTGTGTGGTTTCTAAGAAAAGAAGCCACCCTACGTTTTTCATTCTTTGAATTAAAATTAGTTCAACATTGAAGAACTATGCAGACCTATTTATTTGTGTATGTCACAAGCAATTAATTCTTAAATGATAACCACGATAGCATGATAGCCACCCATCTATAAATGAGTACAGCCAGCCTTCCTCACCCATGGGAAGCTTTAGATTAAACAAGCATGGAAAAATGAATCACCAGAAAGAGTGCCAGCAAAGATAATTATAGGCAAGGCATTATGAGTGATCCAACATAGTCTATTTGCACCATAGGGGGTTTCTTAAGAATCACAGAATGGCCTGAGTTGAAAAGGACCACAACGATCACCTAGTTTCAACCCCCTGCTATGCGCAGGGTCACCAACCAGCAGACCAGGCTGCCCAGAGCCACATCCAGCCTGGCCTTGAATGCCTCCAGGGATGGGGCATCCACAGTCTCCTTGGGCAACCTGTTCCAGTGTGTCACCACCCTCTGAGTGAAAAACGTCCTGCTAATATCCAACCTAAAACTCCCCTGTCTCAGTTTACAACCATTCCCCTTGTCCTATCACTGTCCGCCCTTGTTAACAGCCGTTCCCCCTCCTGTTTATGTGCTCCTTTCAAATACTGGAAGGCCACAATGAGGTCTCCCTGCAGCCTTCCCTTCTCCAAGCTAAACAAGCCCAGTTCCCTCAACCTTTCCTCATAGGAGAGGTGCTCCAGCCCTCTGATCATCTTAGTGGCGCTCCTCTGGACCCATTCCAAGAGCTCCACAAATGCCAGACTTTTGTCCTCACTAAAATTCTCTCTGATCTGTAAAATGCATTGGCAATTTTTTCTGTTCAATCATGTCAAATGATGCATTTAAACCTAGTAGCAGACAACATTTAAAAAATGCTGTCTCCTTTCAACGTTTAAATGCTAACATGGGGGGGACAACACATTGCGGCAAAGCTGTAGTTAAGAGAGCTAATGTGGTTGCCATTGTTAATATCGTTTTGCGTATCTATTTTGAAGATATGGATATCCAGCTGGAAAGTAGAAGATAACAAATAACACTAAGTTTATATCTCAAAGGCTTTCTGATGATTCTAAACCCCAAATATATCAGGTGAACTTTATTTCTGCCAGGGACCTACAGATGCAAGAGGTACTGGGGAATAAGTCATTTGTATATGCAGATTTTCTTAGTAGGAGTACTTATTTCTATCCATTAAGCACTAGCTTAATCATAGATAAACTGTTAGATTAGCTGTAAAGTTAAATTTTGTACCACTACGTGTGAGTTCCAAGGCAATATACTATCATAAAATCAGATCAAATGTTATTAGAACTACTCACATGTAAATTCAGTTACTGTGGAAGTTACCAGTTTTGATACTTCGCTATCTTAGGAGACTTGGGAACACAAAAGAAATGTTTGTGGGAACACAAAGAAGTTTTTCAGCCTCTAAGAGTTTTAAAATCATTCTCATCTCTGAAAACACACTTTTTTTTCTTTGTTGTTGCTTGGTTTGGTTTTTCTAAACAAGATTAGATACTGCTTTTGGTGATCTAGTGACAACCACAGAGAGTAAAATATCACAGACCATTAACCATGCCATTTTATCAGAATTCCCAGATGTTATCCTTTTTCTTCCTTTTCACAAATATAACTACTGATGAGATGTGAGGACACCATACAGTTTCTGATTTTTGTATTTGCTATGAAGGTTATAAAGGACAGAATATATTATATGGCAAAAGAACGTAATGTTATCTTCTTTGTTAGCAGAAACAACTGCTTCATGACAATAAGATTAATTGGTAGCATTTTTATATTTTCTTTCTTTAGGTCATATTCTAAATTCTGATATAAGACCCAAATAACACAAAAGACAGAAATTTCTCTTTTAAGTCAGATCAAAGAGGAACAGTAAGTTCTTCAATTCCAAATATCTCTCCTGAGACAGTGAAGTATTAGTTGAGGTTGGAATTGTTATGGCTGTTGTAAGTGCACTGGTTGCTGCAAATAATCTACCCTTTCCCAGCAACAAAGACAGCAGTACTTCCCTTATTTCCAACTGTTTGAGCCAGAACATAATAACATCCCACAAATATTGCTAAATATTAGCCCTTTTGTTGTAAATAAGAACAATTATTTTAGAGTTTTCCTTTTGGAAACACTCTCCTTTCTCCTTTCTTTGTGTATATGGAATATTTTTTCACTGACTGGGAAAAACACTGTCACTCCAAAAACATAGGTTTTCTTTTGTGTTCATAACTGCCAATGCTGTTCATATTTTAAGTGAGAAAATAAACTATTTTTGTATTCCCTACCACTTTTGACATCTCCAGAGAGTCCCTTTAAATTCCCACGTTAACTTAACAACAGCATAATTGCAGCATAAAGAAAAATATGTCTGGAAGAAAAGAAGAATGGTAGGGAGATAAGGTAGGCAGTTAAGATCTATGAACAGGCAGTGCTTGGATTTTCTTATGCCTTCAAATTCTGTATTATGCTGATTTTCTTTTGAAGCTTTATTCTTGCAGCTTAAACTGTTCCCTTGCATCACCCAAAGATGGGCAATGTAATAGAACTTGTTAGAAATGTATTACGTGTCATTAATCAGTGTATCATTTCAATGAGCTATAAAAACACTAGCACCATGCAGTCAGTGATTAAAGGAGAATACTGATCAAGGATTTCTTGCTTATGTTCTTTACCTCATTGCTTGCTTACTGGCAGATCAAACTGAAACCTAGGACTGACATATCTTGAGTGAAATATATGTAATTCCACAGAACACATCAGCAGAAAATGTTGATTAATATGATTTTCTCAAAAATTCTAACCAACAATATTGAACTTCTTTTGGATTAAATACTTTGTTCCTAACATATAATACAAATTGTAATTAAGAAAGAGAGAAGAAGCCAATATTGTATCTTTTGCCAGTGGTCCCAAAGACTGATGGTACTTCTGCCTGCAAGGAAGAGATGGATTATTTTACAAAAAAGAACTATACTGTATACAAGCTAGCAGAAGAACTCCTTGAGAGTCGCCCTGCTGAGAAGGACTTCGGGGTTCTGGCTGGTGAAAAAGTGAACAGGAGCTAGCAGTGTGCACTTGTAGTCCAGAAGGCTAATGGTATCCCAGCATCCACCATAAGAAGGGCGGCCAGCAGGGCAAGGGAGATGACTGTTCTCCTCTGCTCCGCCCTTGTGAGGTGCCAGCTGAAGTACTGCATCCAAGTCCAGGGCCCCCAACACAAAAAGGATGCGAAGCCTTCGGAGATGGTCCAGAGAGGACCACAAGGATGATCCAAGCGATGAAGCACCTCTCTTATGAAGACAGGCTGAAGGAACTGGGCCTGTTCAGCCTAGAGAAGACTGTGAGGAGATCTCAGTGCAGCCTTCCGCTATTTAAAGGGAATTTATAAACATGAGGGAATTCAACTTTCTACACGGGCAGACATTGATAGAACAAGGGGGAATAGATTTAAACTAAAGAGAGATTTAGATCAGACATCAGAGGGAAGTTCTTTACTGAGAGAATGGTGAGGTGCTGGAATAGGTTGCCCAGAGAGGTTGTGGATGCCTTGTCCCCTGGAGGTTTTTAAGGCCAGCTGGATGAGACCCAGGCAATCTGATCTAGTATTAGATCAAGTGGCAGTAATAGCAGTGAAATCTTGTCAAGTTACAGCAGATAATACTTCCAGCTTCTAGTAGTAAGGCACATGGACCTACAGGCAGATATACTGAATTGTGTAATTTACTGAAATATTCATCAAACAAACATTTATCAGAAAAATCTGCATTGTCAAACTGCATAAACATTTGATGTTGGCAATGCACAGTGTTTCTCATTCCCATGTTGGCTGTTCCTTATGTGCTAACTTGTGATGTGTGCTATGCAGCTGAAGACACCTAGTGTATTTTACGGGTGAATGAAATACAGTTTTCTCCTTAAGTAGCCAATGAACATTTTTTGCTGAAGCTACATAGATTTTTG